TTTTCATTGGCACGCACGGCTGCCGCTCCGAAACGTCCACTCCGCATTGGTTGGAGGGGCAAGGACTGGGAGGCAGCGCCCGCCGGCCTGGCCCCTGCTTTCATTGGGCGGGGTGGCTGCCACTCAAGGGGGGGTGTGGCCGTCCTGTTTGCTCTGCCATTGGCCCGCCGTTTGGAAACGCCCTCCATGACCTCTTACTCCATTAGTCAGAATGTCTGTCAATCAACTCATCCTCTCCGTCTCATTGGCCAGGCCAACTGTCTCTCACGTAATGTTCCTCGTATCTGTTGGTCAAAGAGCCTGTCAATCAGCAAGCAAGCGACCTGCTACATTACTATTGGATGAGGTGGCAGATAGGCGCGGGAAGTCTCATTGGTTGAGGGATGCCATTGGAGGGCTGTCCCCATTTTCCATTAGCTGGAGCGGTTGTCACTCAGGGATTGTCCCGCCCACAGCAAACTAATGACTGGCGGCATGCAGGCCAGGAACGTGGCCCCGCCCCTTCGAGCCTCATTGGCCACCGAGAGAGAGAGAGAGAGAGAGGGGGACAGGGACATGCACGACTTAATTTCCTATTGGCTGATATCTGCGTCAGTCAGGAATACCTGCTGCATCCCATTGGAGGCTGTGGCCGTCACTCATAGTGCCCTCGCGCCACTTCATTAGCTGCACTCCTCGCCTTCGTATTCCTCCCCACCTATGAGCAGGCGCCTTCCACCTGCCGGCCGCAGTGACTGGCTGACACCCCCAGCCAACCAATACGTCAGCGGGTGGCCCCTCCCGTCAGCGCCCACCAGATATGCAGGCAGCTTTGGGAGGGGGGGGGGGGCCGCAAGGGATGCTGGGAGCTGGCGCAGAGGGTTCTGGGGGCAGTGTTGCTACCCAGGCCTGTGAAGGGTGAAGCCCTGCAGGAAGTGTGTGCTGGCCTGGTCCCGCCCCCCCACTTCCTGTCCTAAACCCGCCGGTGGCCAAGCTGCAGCCTGCCCAAGGGCCCCGCCGGGGCGCCACGAGGCCCAGAACCCGGCTCCCCGCAGCCCCGAGGCGCCGGGCTGGGATGGCGGGGATCGGACCCAGGCCTGCATGGCTGTGGCCGATCTGTGGGCCCGAGAGGGGATGTGCAGAGAAACCCCCCGGGCTGCAGGGGAGGGACTGGGCCGGGGGCCAAGCGTGGCCCAGTGGCCAGAGCAGCTCCGTGATGCGGGGGCCGGGCTGTGGGGCACAAGCAGTTTTAATGCCCGCCATGGCTCTAGGGCATCCTTCACCTGCAGGCTCCGGACGGAGGACACCAGCACCATCGCTGTCCCCTGGTACCCGTGGGGGAAACTGAGGCGCAGGGAGGCAGAGTGATGTGGCCAAAGCCACCCCGGAGGCTGGTGGCAGGGCCGCGGGGCTCCTCGGTGCGCGGCTGCAGGTCTGAGACTGCAGCGGCGCCGCACTCTGGGCAGCGGTGGGGACTGAGCGGGCAGAGCCGTGGGTGCAAGGGCCCTGCTGGGGCGAGAGCTCGGTGCCGGGGCACCCGCCGGGGCCAGGGCAATGGCTGGGCCCAGGGGTTGAGGCTGCCACTGCCAGTGCTGTCTCCCGGGATCCTGCGACAGGACCGAGACAACGCCCCCTTTATGCCGCCGCGCCCATGCTGCCTGCTGCGGGGGGGGCAGCGTGACACAGCAGCTGGCACGCACAGGGCCCCGTTGTGTCCCAGGGCCTCGCCGGCGTCGGGGCGATCGGGTTCCCTTTCCCAGTGGCCTGGAATGCGGTGCCTGAGCCAGGGGCTGGGGAGGGGCCGGGGGCTCCGGCTGCCTCTGTCGCCTGCTGCTGCGGGGGCCGAGGGGGGACTCCTGCTGCGGGAGCCGAGGGGTGACTCATGCTGCACTGTCCCTTTAAATAACCCCCCTGCAATGCATGGAGCATCCCCCCCAATGTGGGTACCCGTTTGCTCCCAGCCCCTGCGCCTGGTGCCCATCCGCGTGGCCCTGGGCAAGTCACCGACCTCCCAGGGACAGGCCCAAGCCCCCAGGCCCCACTTTGGGACAGGAAGTGCTTCCAACCCCCGCCCTGCTCTGCTCCAAGTCTCCAGCAAGTGGAGGTTGGTCAGTGCCAGCAGCAAGGGGGGCCAGGGACGGGCAGGACAAAGGGGCCATTGAGGCCGTGGCAGGTGCAGGGGGAGGCCCTGCACTGCATTGGCCATGCTGTACCCAGGTGAAGCCCCCTCCGCGCCCGTGATGATATAAGACACCAGTGCCCGCCGCAGCCTGGGGAGCTGGGGCATCGGTGGCTGCACAGGGATGGCTGCCGAGGACAAGAGTCTGGACGCGTGGCCCCTGGGGCTGGGGCTCAAGAGCCCCCCGTATGTGAGTTGGGGGTGGGGGGCAGCCGGCCAGGCTCTTGTCGCAGCCCTGGAGCTGGGAGCCCTGCCCCTGCCCGGGTCTAGGGACCCACCTAGTGCCCGTCACGGCTGGAGGGGGCAACTCCAGCAAGGCAGCTGGAGCCCCCGGGGCCAGCGCCTACCTTAGCTTCACTCCCTGCCTCAGTTTCCCCATCCAGCATCCCCTGCCTGCCCCTCACTGGCTCCCTCTCTCCCCCAGACTCTGCCCTTGGGCCTGGAGGCGCCCGCACCCTCCAGCCGCAAGCTGGCGATCCTGACCGCGGGAGCCGTCTTGGCCCTGGCCATCAGCCTCGTGGGTGTCCTTGTGGGCACCTACCTGGGCCGAGCTGCCTGCAGCCAGGTAGGCCGAGGGGCTGGAGTGTGTGGGGGGTGGGGGTCCTGGCTCAGGGCAGGGGAAGGCTGGAGTCCGTGTGTGATGCCCCCTCCTCTCCCCGTGCCCCAGGGAGTCGCTGACGGCTCCCTGCCAGCCCAGGTGCACGTGCAGAACGAGGCGGCGCTGCTGCTGGCGCTGAGCGAGCTGGGGGAGCAAGGTGCCGCGCCCGGCATCACCTGCGACCTGAGGAACGTGAGTGCCGGGGGGGCTGGGGCAGCCTTGCACCAGCATCCAGCTCCACCCCCTGGCCTGACATGCAGCCACCTCTGGGGTGGGACAGCTGCCCAGAGACCTGGGATGGGGTCGGGGGTGCAGGGATGGCTCCTGGCCCCGCTGGAAGGGGACTGGTTGGGGGGGGGGTCTTACAGCACAGTCCCTCTGCCTGTCCCTCCCACAGCACCTGATATTGTACCACGGGCAGCCTGAGGGCTGCGTGGGCCAGAAGATGGACCCCGCGGAGCAGCTGCCACCCTGCCGGGAACTGGAGAGCTACTTCCAGACTGTGCTGGTAACCGCCGTGGGGGCAGGTGCAGGGAGACCGAGCCCCCTGCCCACCCGGCCCTGTGTGTCGGGGATGGGGGTAGGATAGGTCACCAGGCCCAGGGGATGCATCAGGGCCTCCTCTGCACCTGCAGAGACCCAGGTCCCCCAGGGCAGGGTGGCAGTGCTGGGAGGGGAGTACAGTCCTGTCCAGAGAGAGGCTTTCCCCACCACAGCCTGCCCCAAAAGGGGCCCGGGATGGGAGAGTCGGTCACAGCCAGGCCAGCCTCCCCCCATCCAGCCTCCAGGGCTGAGGCTAGATCTGGTTACTGTCCCCACTAAGCCCATCTGAGTGCAGCAGATGGGCTCAAGCCTGGAAGCTGGAGGGTTCTCCCATCCCAGGGGGGCTGTGGCTGCGGCTGCGGCTGCTCAAGGAGGCAGGATGGGCACTTGCAGGCTGAGTGCCGGGTCCTGGCAAAGGCCGTTGGGGCAGGTTCTAGGGCCAGGAGACAGGAGTGGGACAAGCCTTGGGGTAGGGGGGTCACCCCCATCCCTGCTTACCCTCTGCTCCTCCCACAGAGCAATGCCACACTGGGACTAGGACTGGAGATGGGCATGGACGTGCAGAGTGTGGGCGCGGGGACCCTGGGCAGCCTGGCTGTGCTGCTCTGCAGCAACAAGCCCACGTACCTGGTGGCAGCCAGCCCACGTGAGTCATGATCCTGGTGGGAGAATGCGGGGGGGTTATGCTGCTCAGCCTCTGCCAGGCTGTACAGCAGACACCGCAGTGCAAGGGGGCAGTGCCAGCCTGGCCACCACAGTGCTGGGCCCAGAACAGGCTGCTTTAAAGTCCTGGATGCAGCAGACAAGGGGGAGAATGGGACCTAGCTGCAACAGGAGCTTGCAAGCATGTAACATGTACATGCATCCATGCAGCTACACACACACACATACACACGCACGTGCGCACATGCACAACCGGAGTATTCCTGCCCAGAGCAGGGGGGTTGGACTCGATCTTTCAAGGTCCCTTCCAGCCCTTAATTTCTATGATTCTATGAACCATGCAGACACAAATGTGTACAGCCACACACATGCACACAGTCATGTACACATATGCACGTGCACACGCTTCCCCAGCAGTGTGTTGGGCAGTAGCAGCTTGGCTCCGAACACCTTCTTGGGCTCCTGTGCAGTCGTTCTCCTTTGCTCCTGTCCTCTCCCACCCATAGGGGATGGCAGCAGGAGCTAGAGCCCTAAGCTGCAGCCAGGGAAAGGGAGGGTGATGAGCCGGCGTGCTCAATGCTGGAGCAGGCCCCCAGAAAGGGGGGGCAGTCGCTGCCCTATGCCTTCTCCTGAGCAGGTCGGCCAGACATGGACTGAGCTGGTTCCTGCCCAGCTGCGAGCAGCGGTTGGTCTGGAGCCCTGCCAGAACCACTCTCCCTTCCATCCTAGCACAGAGATGATGCCCCTGGCAGGACAGCCACACAAATACGCGCATTTGTTTCTCCACTAACTTCAGTGGGAGGGAGCCTGTTGCCTCCAGGGCCCTGGTGTGGATGCAAGGGAGACTGGGTGGGGCTGCTGCAGCAGCAGAGGCAGGCAGCGCCAAGGCCTTGACAGGGCTTGGCTTGCCTGGCGCTGGCTAAAGCTTCTCTTTGGTTTCCACACAGCATCTCCCCGGTACCACGGGCACCTGGCGGCCTAGCGTGTGCAGGGAGGGGACCAGGCTGTGGCTGCCTGGAGGTGCTGGATGCTTTCCAGCCACATCCACAAGTACTGACCCTGCGCATCTTTGCAAGGGCCTGGCCCCGACTGTGGGGGCCGAGGCCCCACAAGGTTTTGCATCGCTTTGCAGTGTAATCCTAGCAATAAACGTAGATCTGCACCCGAGCCGAGTCCCCGTAACACCCATGTCCTCGCCAGCACCAGGAGACGCAGGAACCCAGCAGAGGGCTCCCAGCAGGCCCATGTGGGGCACAAATGATTGGGCGGGCAGCATGGCCAGGGGGGCTGCGGGTTGGCTGAGGAACGCTTTAAGGACTGCAGCCCACAGCAGGGGAAAAGGCTGGGGCTTTGCTCTGCACGGAGCCCTGGCAGTGCCAGGCCAATGCCCGACTCAGGGCTAATGAGGGGATTACACCTACCCAAAGGGAAGGCACACGGCCAGCAGCACATGCTTGCCTCTCAGCCTCAGCCTTGCAGGGGCAGCATCTTTCCAACTGAGCTCCTCTGCAAGACCGGCCTGAGGGCATAGACACTGCCAGCCTGGACGGAGGCCAAAGGTTTGGGCTAAGCTGCCACGCTCACCCCTGCCCCACCATCACCCCAACCTGGAACTTGTCCACACTGCCACAACCCCTCTCTGGGGAACCATTGCAGCTGTGTGCCCACCTGAATTGTGCCCCTTCCACTCAGGTATAGGCTCTAGCCATAAGCCATATCTGTCACATCAAGTGTGTTGGCTGCTTGAATGTGTCTCCCTCAGGCTGGCAAGTGGTTCTGCTTGCTGTGCCCATGAGCCAAATCTCTGCTCCAAGGGAGGAAGCCATTGCTACACCTCACAGGGGTTGTAGAGGAGACATGCATCCAGATACACGTATGCAAGTATCTACTCCGACCGCCCGTGCAGTTAGTTTTATCCCACGCACCTGTGTCTGCCTGAGAAGGGCAATAAGATACAAGCCGAGCTGCATCCGCACTTGGGGCTGGTCTGATGGTAGCACGTTACGTGTGCAGCGAGGTCCTGGTTGATGATATGTGCTACAGTCTGTCCAGGCTGCTGCCCCTTCACTGCTGCTCCCCACTGGCACTGCCCTCACCTCCACCAGGCAGATGTACCATGTCAGCCACGTGCACGCACAAAAGCAGTGTACGGACCATGGGATCGCTTGACCCTGGTGCAAAAAGAGGCTTTTCTCCCCACACAGTAGCACCCAGCTCTTCAACACAGCGGGCACCAGCCCGGCTCTGATGTCTCACACTCCTAGAAGCTCCGTGTCCAGCATCTGCAGCTGAGGTGGGGGGAGCCGGGGAGAAAGCTGAACTTTTTTATTAATTGTTACACCAAGAAAAAACCCCAAAACCCTCCTACCCTGTGCCCAGCGCCTGCCCCTGTGAGCAAGGGGCACACAGAAGCTGGAGGTGCTGGGTGACAGGGCTGGAACATGCAGGGCATAGAAGCCATCACAGGTCAGGGCGCAGATGCAGCGCCGTCACTTCTTCTCCTCCTCTTTTTTGTCCTTACTCTCCTTTGATGCCTGAGAGGCCAGGGAGCCCATGGCGTTGCGGATGGCCTCGTTGTTGGGGTCAACACCGGGCAGGTTCTCCAGCACACTCTGGAGGAACTCGGGGTCCTGCATCACATCGTAATCATCTTCCTCCTGCGCAGAGCCAGAGAGAAGTGAGGCTGGCAGGGACCTCTGGAGGTCACATCTAGTCCAACCCCCCTGCCTGAGGCAGGATTGGCCCTGTGCAAACCAGCCCAGACAAACGCATCATCTAATCTCTTAATAAAACTCCTGTCAGCCCTGACACGACACAAGACATCACACCTGACCCCACCACAGGTAAAGCAGGGGTACCCAACATCTTGCTATTGTAAAAGGGCATTAATAAACGCTAAACAGATCCCAAGTAGAAGCCACGGCTCCTGCTGCAGAGGAAGGCAAAACTCCCCCCAGTCCATATCAATCTACCCAGGGGGAAAATTTCTTCCTGACCCCAAATATGGCACTGGTCTGAGTCTGAGTGGAGGGGCAGGACCCTCTGGGCTTAGTGCCAGCAGAAGCATTGGCACAGCCCAGTCCCCATCCCCAGCCTGGGCTGCAGCCAGCACCCAGTGCCTCTGAGAGAGGCTTAAAAACAACCTGACACAGAGCAGAAATGGGGGGCAGGGGGCAACCAGCAGAGCCCAGAAGCCTGGGAAGTCCCCATGGTGGAACACAGGCATCGCTCACCTAGATCATCCCCAACCACTGGCTGTCCCAACCTCCCCTCGTGTGACTTGCTCACCCCCCACTCGATCCCAAGGAAGAGCCACAGCCCTGGCTGGCAGGAAAATGCCGCTCACTTGAAACCAGTAGCCAGCTGAGGGGGTGTTTATATGGGCTATAGTGACTCAGGGGACTGGCTGTGGCTCTGCAGGGAAGAGGGGGTGACCTAGAGTACTAGAGGGAGGAATCCAACCCTGGATGCGAAGCTGGAGCTGAACTTTATATTCAACTCATTTATGACCAAAATAGGGACCAGTTTGAGACTCCGAGCAGAGGATTTGCAGGCAGGTGGAAAGAGCCTTTCCAGCCTGATAGCAATGGTGCACATGGGGAGACAGTCACCTTTGTGGGCTCCGACGTGTCCATGGCGGCACTGCTCTCGACCTCAGCTGATTCGGCTTGGGCAAACTCTGAAGGAAGGGGGGGAAAAAAAAAATCCACCTTGGCTACAAAGCCAGCACCATCCACCATCACAGTGTGAACCGAGAACATCCAGGGTGTGGGCAGAGACAGCTGCTTCATAGTTTCACGAAGCATCTGCCAGGCTGAGGGAGCATGGAGCTCACTTGGCTGCACCTCAGTGCCCCAGCATGGGGCTCATCGTTCCTTCCCCGTCTACCCGCTAATTTTGTGCCCCTGTTTCCAGGTGCTCCCACAAGACTCGCTGGCATGGATGGGGTGTAAGTTGACCACGGCCAGGTTCTAGCCCCTCACCTGCCCCCTGCAGAGACATCTGCATGGCATAGGCGATCTGCTCCTCCTCGGTCATGCTGCTGAGGTCTGGCAGCCCGGCCCGGCCAAACTCCTGCTGGGTGATGGTCATCTTCAGCAGGGCATCGTCCGAATCTGCCATGGAGACAAGGAGGCACCAGCTTAGAGCAACACATCTTGTCCCCACCCTTTGCCAGCTTTACCCCCAAATCCCTCCACCAGCACCGTTGGCAACCGATAGCCACAAAGCTGTGCCCGCCTGGGCATGCAGGAGGGGGTCTGGGGAAGATGGACTGGAGTGACCAGCCTGGTTTTTGAGGGAAGTAAGACAGTCTCTTAAGCGGCAGGAGAGAGGCAGGTGAAAGGCAGCCCTGCCCAGAAGGGCTCTGAGGAGCCAGGGCATGGGCAGGAATTCAATGCCACCACCCACCTGTGGGCTGCCCAGGCCCTGGAGGGCAACAGGAGGGTGACAGGGTCTCAGCCCCTGCTGGTCAGACTGCTGTACCCTGTCCCCTTCTCTGGAGGGAGCAGGCTTTGACCCCCTCCTAGGACCTTACCATCCCCGCCAGCAGCAGTGATTCCTGCCTCAGCAGCGGATGCAGCTGCAGCTCTCCGGGCCTCTTCTTCCTGCCGCTGCCTCTGCTCTTCCATGGACACACGCAGAGCCTAGGGAGAGAAGAGTCAGACAAGTGCTCAGCTCAGCACAGCTTTCATGACTCCCAGCTCTCTCCATACCCGTCCCCCTGCTTTCGCCATCTCTCACCAAAGCCAGCTCTGGGTCGGCGCTGGGATCCACTCCAAACTCAAAATCACTGGCGCCCAGGCCCAGCATGGCACCTCCCTCCCCAGCCAGAATAGGAGAGCTGATCAGTGCATCAGCCAGGCTTGGGCCTGGGGGCACGGTCACTAAGTGGGAGCCAGTGCCATCCTTGCCATTCAGGGTGTTAATGAAAGCCGTCAGCTTGTCTGTGTTGGCTTCCTAGAAAAGAGAAGGCATGGGAGAGGTTAGAACGGGGCCGACTGGTTCAAGAAGCCTGAGGCCAAGGAGATGGGCTCCACCTTAGTGATTCTCTCCCTTGCTGCCACTCAGGCTATGATCTATGTACAGATATACGAACACATGCAATAGTGACACGTACACCCAGGAATACGAATGCACCTGCCACATGTCAGGGTGGGCAGGTACCCTGCTCACAGGTACTGCAGAGTAAAGTGCCGTGACCCAGATGTAGCAGAGGGACAGGCCAGGCTGACTGGTCAAATATGAATGGAAGAGTTTCTGCAGCCAGAACAGCTCAGTCTCCAGGATGCCACCAAGGAAAGCAAGCTCCAGGACTGTCAAGCATGTCAAAATGAGATGTAAAACCCAGATTGCGTTTGTATTGAGGATGCCCAGAAGACCAGGTTAAAGTCTCACCTCTTCTCCAAAATTGATTATGTCAACGTTGACTTTCTCCTTTTTAAGGCGCTTTGCCAGCTTCACCAACTGCAGTGAGAAAGAGAAAAATCTGTATTAGCTTTTTGTCCTGTCCTCTGCATCTCCTCCCCTTGAGAGAGCAGACAGAAGGGCTCTGATACCATCCATCTACATGCAAAGCCAGAAAGCAGAGGGCATGGACACACCATGCATTTATAAGGCGGTAATTTTAATTTGTTTTGCATACCACTACAAGCTACCCTGAGACAGAGTAGACAGACAAGCAGGTAAATCGGGATAGCTACCTGCAGATGGTGTTAGTACAAGGCCTTGCCAGGACGTGGAGGATGCAGGTAAAAGCCAGGATGGGAGTGGGCAAACACTAACACCAGAGTAGTTTCTTTCTGGGGTAACTCTCCACTGATGAAGGGATTTCCACCCTCCGTTCACTGGAGAAAAGGCTGGTTACACACAGGTAAATGAGTCATCTTTCAAAAGACAAGAGGCTGCCATTTAAGCAAATGACACAAGGATAAGGGCAAGGTTATTTCTTACTAGGAAAATGTGTTGTGATGCTTTGTCTCTGTGCATGGAAAGGAAAACACACAGCAAAACTTAAACCTGAACAAATTTCCCAGGTTCTTTCCAAAACAAATCACGGACAATCTAAATTTTCCCACCTCCTACCCACTTACCTTTGAACTGGAATTAATTAAAAAGGCACCAGTCTCAACTGCAGACAACTGGTTATAAAAAGAAACACT